CTGATTCAGCTGTAAAAAAGAGTTCAGAAATAAGCAGATCTATTCAAAAAATAATATTCCGATCTTTTATAAAGAGAAAGATAAAAGAATCTTGTTTAGATAAGTGAAATGAAAGCTGACAGAAATAAAAGAAGAGTATATATTATTCAAGATTTGAAACAAAACTCAAGTGAAAATCTTGTTTAATTCAATGTAAAAAGAAAATATTCTCATCTATAATTCAGCTAAAACTAGAATATGACTATTTCAAATCTTATATACAAAGATTTAATAAGAGATTTGATTCAATAGAATACTCATTCTGCAATGTAAATGAAAATCCTGAGTATATTATAATACACTGTGCATTATATAATAGTCTCAGAGTTAGATTAAAAGAGAAGTATAATCTAAATCAATTAAATATGAGATTCTTATTCTCAACTGAGACAGAAATCAAATACTTAATAGACTTTCTATCAGAAACTCAAGCAGCTACAAGAAAATGACTAAATTCAGAAATATCTGAATATGAAGAGAAGAAAATTGATCAGATATAGTCTGTTAAAACAGCTATATACTATCTTTTAATAATTTGTTTTATTATAGTCTTTCTTTACTTTACTTTTTCTTTTCTATTCTTTTCTATCTATCTATTTAATGTGTCTATATTTAAGACTATGTTCTCTTTTCTTTTGTCATGATATTGTCAAATAATTTCAAAGTATTAGAAGATGTTAAAATACTGCAATTATAAACAGTTTTTATATTCTGAGCTGAAATTTTCTGATTTTGCATATCTGAAATTGATAAATGTATAATAGTTGACTTTATAGATATAGGAAAAACCCTGAGAACTAACAGTTCTCAGGTAGATGTCATAGTCTCTGACTGCATACATTAATAATTGAAGAAAAATAATAATAATAATAATTACACAGTCAGTCTAGTATTAATAGAGCTATCTACAAAGAGTATAATATAGTGATTGAACACGTGATCTAGAGAGATCGCAACCGCTGTAACAGTTAATATATAATAGATTATATTTTTATTATATCTTCATTTATCTTTTTATATTTTGATGAAGATAAAAGATTGATTAATTATATACTAATATAGCCGCGCAGCATTCTAATGATTAGATGTGTAAGTTACATAATCTTATATAGAGTATTCAGTTAACACTCTCTCTGACTATAAGTTCTTAAGCATCTGCTAACTGATATAAATATTATATATAAATCTTATCTATTTCATTGATTCTTTCTCTTCAAAGATCTTTTATATTATGTCAATTAATCTTTAACTTCTAGCTTTAATATTTCTCATTCTTACTTTCTTTCTTTCTGAAATTTCTTTATAATATTCTGCTTATATAGTCTAAAATATCTTTCTTATCTTATAAGTTCTGACTCCGACTCTAGCTCTGACTCTTCTGACTCTGATATTAATATAACTTTTAACTCTGATAAGCAGTCTTAGTTAATTATTAAAGAATTAATTAGATATTCATATTAAGTAGATCTTGAGTATTTAATAAAATGAATTACTTAATTGTAGTTCATAATTTTCACTTCTTAATTTAAATTATTTTTATTGCTTTAAATGACTTTAAATCTCATTTAAGTGTTATCAAAAAGTATTACTTTTTAAAAAATTAAAAATAGTCTAAAAAAACCTTAAAATGTCTAAAAATAGTAACTTTATGCCAAGAATGAGACTACATGAACTCAAATGAGACTACTTTCTCATTTTTTTCCAGTTATGATTTCATTTTGAGATCTGATATATAGTCACTTTGCATGTTTTTTTAATATCTAGTCTCAGCAGAATTCACATCAAGAAATGTATGAGATCAGATCAAATGAAATCAAATGTGAAATTCACGGTTCTGGCGGCCAGTCTATAGAGGACTCACAGAACTAACTCCTTTTTAAAGCGTGTAGTTGAAATGGCGCAGGAGTGGCTAAGTGCTCATAACCTGATGAAGGTGAAAGGTTAGTTGATTGTACACTAATCTAGCCGCGCAGCATTCTAATGAATAGGTGTGTGGGTCACGTGGCCTCATATAGGCACTCAGTCAACATGTTTCATATATTTGGTTTTCCACACAGTGACCTTGATGTCATATGCTATCTTGGCCTCCGCGGTGGCTTCTTCTGGACACTCAGGTTCCAGAGGTTCTTCTAGTCCAGAGAAGATATCGGGTTTATCAAGATTGATGAAGTCTGATACCTTCTTGTCCTTTGCATATTCTAGCATATGCTTGTACCAAAGTTTCCAATCTCCAGGAACACTATGGTGAACAGTCGCACTAGTCATTGTTATATTGAACGGATTGAGGAATCAGTTCAAGTATTTGCATGATAGATATGATCAGAATTCGGGGTGTATATCAGCCAAGTAATTTCGGAACATATACGAGTGAGGGTACAATTGTGTCAGTTCAAATGATAGTTATCTATTTGAATGAGGATTGAGATCGGTGTATCGCGCTTCTATTCATATGCTGCTCACCGCGATTCAGTGTATAACAGTCGAGTAGTTCGGAATGATTACAAATGAGGATCAATCATCTGAGTTCGAATGATAGTTATCAGTTCAAATGAGGATTGAGACCAGTGTATCACGCTTCTATTCAGATGCTGCTTACCGGGCTCATAACTGTCAGAATGGTATCTCGGATGAATATGTTGGAAACATATGAATCTTAAGTGTATCAAGATCTGCTTCTTATATTATCTGTACACTATCTATCATATCTAATTCCATACAAAAGATAGAGCTATTTATAGTAAAACAAATGTGCGAGCCAAGAGAGCTAGCATTAGTGAGTATTAGACGAGTTTTGTAGTAAGCTGATGATAAGAAAAATAGTAGTAATATGATGTTGGTGGCGTTCATAGTGTATGACCTCTTATTTCCTGGCACCACTCTTGCTACTTCCCAGGGCTTCTGCTCCTCTCTTCTTCCGCTTCTTTCTTCTTCCGCTTCTTCCTTCTTTCACTCTTTTCTTCTTCCGCTTCATTCTTCTTCCCCTATCTAGACAGGGCTTCTACTTCTTCCTTCTCAGAGCTTCCGCTCCTTCCTTTTGTAAAGTCAACCATGGTAAACAGACAAGCATGTACTTATATATATAAGGGCGCCCGCTCATCTCCATCTTAAAGGAATGAGACAAGATTTATCATTTTACACGTACTATACACGGTTGCCGTACGCTGCAATTGGCGTACGCTGCAGTTTTACTCATTTTTTTCATCTATATAATTGCTCTTTATTAATCACAGCAGATTATGTGAAATTCATCAATATGAGTCATGTGTAGCTATTATTTGCAAGCATAGGCAAGCGATTAAGGCTTGTAGAAATTATATGCAACATGCGCCAACAAAACGCTCCAGAATATATATCGCTGCATATACGTGCATATGCGTGCATAAAACCGTGTAGCCATGAAGCGATCCGTTAGTCATGAGGTATGAGACCGATTCCAAATCTGGAAACCGCGCCAGCACTCCAGTGCTTGGGGAAACAGACGGGTAGGTTCCAGGGTTGAAATAACCGGATTCGCATGCAACCAAGAAGCCCAATTAGGGCTAGTATAATCTATTATTAGACCACTAGATAAAAGAGGACTTAGTGTTACCCTATTAGCGAATGAACAATCATACTTTAAATTTAGGGTACGGCTTCTTCGGGAGCGCCCGCTGAGCAACCACATTTCTTCCCGATTTAGCACAACTCATTGCCCTACTGTTGCTGCGTCATTTGGACTGCTTCAGAAATGATACATACAACCATTGTTTCTGAATAACACAAGTTTCCCTGAGTCAATGACTCTTGTCTGAGCTTCGGACAGAACTCTCAACCCCTCTGTTCTGTTATTGTAAATATCGGGAAACCGCTGAGCTCCTGAGGACATTTTAGGAATCAAGTTAAGTTTTCTACGGGAAGGTTGGATATCACGCAACGGCACCCTTCCGGGAGGAAGTGACAGAAGAGCCTCAGGTGTTTCAAGATCCTTGCCTCAACGGCTTCGAATCCTTAGCGCAGGCTTCTCAGAAGCTAAATTATGCACATATCTTGAAAGGTCCCACCATCCACGACCTAGGAGGCACAGATTATCCACGTTGCCAAATGTGGAGTTCCGACGTTCGTATCTGGCTCTGCAACATTCGTGGCCGATTGCTCAGTTGCAGCTAAATCAAGAATCTCGACAAGCAGCTCCCCCTTGTCATGCATGGTGGCTGCAGACCATACTACATCCAGCAAAGCGGAAACATAATAATAGCAACACAGGACATTTGAGCCAAGCCTTATGTAGCATAACTAATCTTTTTTTAGTTTTAGAGTTAATTTTGACGAACCCAGACTAGACTTGTCACATCAACCTTGATGTTTCAACTCCAAACCGCCCTTCCTCTCAACCGTGGAACACTCGCTGCGACCGCTCGGTCCGATCATTGGTCTATGAGCCGATCACAGATCCTCCCTTATTCAAAACGGTTAGTTCTCAGCGCCTCAGCCGCAAATGTTCATTGGGCTTTACTGCGCAGATGGCGGGTTTCCATTTTGAGCCATGCTTCAAACCACTGCAGCTAGCCTGTTTTTTAGCGCTGTGGTTCAGGTACACTACACGCCACTACGTTGAGTTCCTACATCGAGGTTTGACAATCACTTCTAAAGGGGCTGATCTTGGCCAGCCTCATAGCTATATATCTTGCTGCGCGTTTCACCTGCTTTAGGATTATCCGTATGGTCTTCTACCGAACAGGTGCTGGTCGACTATTCAAAACCCTGTCCTCGCCGCTAACATTATTATATTTCTATTTTTTCTCTTGTGGCCCCTACTTATCTTGCACCACCTAGACTATGTACAGTTGGTGACCCAATTGTATCATCTATACTTCGCTTCTTCAGCCCGTTCGCAGAATTAGCCCCAAATCTTCTAGACTCTAGATTTGAGACATCTGCACTCTTATTTATCATCCTGCTCCATCCTAACCCTCGAAACAATCATGGCTAGGGCGTCGCCGAAATCGCGCCAAGCTTTTAAGGATCGGCATGAATCTGCTATAAGGACTTCACCATCCCGGCTCCAGGGCTTTAATCCCGCTTCCACCTTCACACATATACGTAGCAGGCCTCTGCCAGCAATAGTACACTCTCAAAGCAACCCCCCTGCACCGAATTCATTGACAGCACATCTTGGTTCACCAAATGCTATGTCAGCCAATATGGCTTTCAACCCAAGGCACCAACGGGCAGTCTCCGATATAGGCCCAATGACATACACCCCAAGAACAGGAAAAGTGAGCAAAGCGCTAAAAGGGAAAAAAGTTCATCAATGCCAGTACCCAGGGTGTGAAAAGGTATGGAAAATATATATTGTCCTTCACCTACCTGTAATAACTTGCTGTTAACCTGAATATTCTTACTCTTAGCTTTTCTCAAGAGCGGAACATGTACGGTGGGTTTTCTCTTGTATACGCTTCATTGTATGTGAACTGCTCTAACATTCTTTAGACGACATGCATCAAACCATAATCCAGTCGCCAGTATTAAATGTAGTGTTGAGGGATGCGGCAAGGCATTCAAACGGAAAGACTTGTGCGTTCGTCATATGGAAAAAAAGCAGTATGTGTTGTTCTTATCACTCATAGCCATTAGCTTTGCTAACTTGTTACTTCAGCAACGATAAGTTGAACGCACTTCCAGGAAACACTCGCCGTGAAACTCACATCCAATTGAGCCCGGTATCAATGACTTCAGAACCACAGGGCTTAATGTCACCTATATCATTAAATCAACAACACACATCTGTTCCAGCCGTTCCCCATGATGGGGATTTAATGTCAATCGGCTCCCTTGTGCAACCGGGGACCCAGCACCATTTCGCGAACGATTATTCTATGCCTGTATGGTGTGAGCCGGAACGGGGACTAGTTAGAGGGGACTTGTTTTCCGATTCACCGCAAGTAAATGCCGACGATACAATGGTATATTCTTCACCTGACAGCTGTCGATCGCCCGCTTCTGATATAAATCCTTTTCAATTCCCACAACGTACGCCTATTATGGACCAATCTTACTCTGAATCATTTTACCATCCACAAACGCATACATCATCCTTTAAAATGACCCCTACAGCTCCCGACTGGACTCCTCTTCAGGCAGGAACTTCTACTTCCCCGATGTTACCTATCTCCCTTGAAGGTGATATCCTTCAAACAGTAGGTGAACCTTCCATTCGTTGTCGCTATGGGAGAACTAGAATTAACATTCTGTTAGCCCTACACGTACCAGTACCCTTCGCCCCACTGGACAGAAATGAGTGGTATGCCCTGCGACGAGAACTTAATTTCTCCCCCGGAGTCATTCTCCGAAATGACGGCATGGAGATAACCGACACTGCCCAATGGCAGGACTGCCTTGAGTGCTATTGGAAGCACTTTCACCCTATCTTTCCGATTGTCCATCGCCCAAGCTTTTGCGCCGTAAACCCAATACCGTTAATGTCCGGTGCCATGGTAGCGATAGGATCGCAGCATGATACATGACCCAATGCGAAAGAATACTCTCTACTTCTTTTAGAAGCATGCCTCAAGCTTCTCGCCTAGGTAAAATGCACTGGCGAAAAAAGTCCCCTTGAAAAGATGCGGACGTGAATTCAGAGAAACCCAATTACAATCCGTCCTCAGATTTCTGATATCGAAGCCGTTTTTTTTAACTCGAATACCTCTCAAAATACCGATCTAGGAAGGCTGATGTTACCTTATCTCCATGGTTTAAATCTTTATACGGAACTGTGAGCTTTCCTCAAATGGCTCATTGTGATCATTGCTAATATCGGGCAGGGTAGTTTATCCAAAACCGCCATTGGATGTCAAAAAACCCACTCGCTATTTTTAATACTTTTTCCGAGGATGAGAAGCGGTTGTATCTAGAGAAAGCATATAGCTTTTAGGTGCAAAATAAAACCTGACGGCGGATATTACAAGCCGCTTTCCTCCTTAATGTTCAGCAGAGGACCCTGTTTCAGCAAGCAGCCTTTGGCATTCCTTATCCGAACGCCGCGATCCAACATTCGAAATGTAGAACATATCGACTTACCATTCCCTTGCAAAACCGAATTATGGGAAAGTGCTGGGATTGAAGAATGGGCTGGATACGCCAGGGCATCAGAGTCACTAACTCTCTCCTCTGCTGCAGCGCGAATTATTCGCCGAAATGACAGCACGCTGAAACTTGATACATTTCAATCAAACCTGATTCTTTCCTATTCTTTGCTTACGAATATGCGATCGATAGATCTGGAGCAAACGCTAGAGGCTTTTATTAGGAGGATGAAGTAGGGGACGGCTGCAAAAGAACTCGTACAATGTAGTGAAGCATGCGGCCCTGTAACCCATCCAAGCCAAACACTCTTCGCATATCACGCACTCCTCGCAGCATATCGTGCTCCGCTCAAAGCTATTCTAATAGTTAGCGGCGAATCTTGGCTCTTTAATGGGAAACTCACAGACCAAGCGGAATATCACCAATATCACCAGGCCAAGAAGGCATTACGTTTGTGGGTTTCTGACACTGATGAACTAAAAAAGGGAGTTTGGCATGCGCTACGGGTTTTGGAATATGCTATCGATCATCCAGTATTGGGACATACTCCAGGGTTAATTTCTCCAAATACGGACCTCTCTCATGCCTGAGCTCGATTCAGCGATGGAAGTGGCTGCATAACTCATTTAAACGTTAATCCGCAATCCGGTAACGATATACACCGAACCGAAAACCTGTATTCTACACCTGGGTCTCAGATTGAACAGCATACGATACTGTCACAGTCCAACGAAGCAGGTCCAATAACAGCATTGCACGCCAATTGGACATTGTATGTTTGCGCCCTTATATGCTGGGCCTATGGCGCCGATACTTCAACGGCATCAACAGCAAGTAACTGCCCTCCATTTTCCCCTCCCGCCTCTCCAAGAACATATGTATCTACATTGAAGCTGCCTGCTCCATCACGGTCCCAAATTTCGCGCAGGTAGATACCTCATTACATAAGACGCGATACTCGCGGACTGCTTGAATAGGTACGCACCAGATGGCTCCAACCTGATGGTATGAGTGGGCTCCTGAATGAAGGAGCAGGAGTTCTACAACGTCTTGGTGAACAGCATCATCCAGATGGAATTGAAAACAACTGGGAATTCTGATTCAAGATAACTAGTGCTAACAGAGTGACTGACTTTTTCTTATTCTTTTCTTTTATACTTTTTCTTATATGAGATATTGTGTTTCTTTTCTTTATGATATGCACTCGCCGTGATGCTAAACTGATTCCTGCTCTGGCCCTCGACGAGGGCCGTTCTTACTCTCCATTTTTGTTTTCTCTAATTTTTCTTTCTGATGGTATTCTTCTATTGTTTTTCTCCACGTGATGCATTCAGGAGATTATGGTTTTAATTCTTGATAATCTATTATCATCGAGCTGCTTCTAAATTTACTCAATACTTTTGTATTCTTGTAACAGTTTTTGTAAGGGGCCTACACTGAAAAGATTGGTATTGAATATAGGACTTATATAACAAAATAGAAAACATCAGAGAAGGAAGAGAAAAGATGCAAGAATCTCAGTGAGAGTGAATATTTATATATGTACAAGGTGAAGCTTCAGAACAGAAGAATAAGAGCTCTGCCAGAGGTTTTGAATGTATGAGATGAAGCTTCAGAGCAGAAGAATAAGAGCTCTGACAGAGGTTTCAGAGATATATGAGCAGTAGAGCTGTGAGTGTGTAGTTCTCATCAGTTAAGAGCTGCTATTTCAGATAGTATGAAGTCTGAGATTCAGATTTAACAGTTATAATTATCTCATTTTATAAGATATTATTGGAAAGAGAAGTATGATTTAAATCAATTAAATACAAGATTCTTATTCTCAACTGAGACAGGAATTAAATACTTAATAGACTTTTTATCAGAAACTCAAGCAGCTATGAGAAAATAACTGAATTCAGAAATATCTGAATATGAAGAGATGAAAATTGATCAGATATAGTCTGTTAAAACAGCTATACACTATCTTTTAATATTTTTATTTTGTTATGTTCTCTCTTTACTTTACTTTTTCTTTTCTGTTCTTTTCTATCTATTTATTTAATATATCTATCTTTAAGACTTTGTTCTCTTTTATTTTATCATGATATTTCTAAATAATTTCAAAGTATCAGAAGGTGTGAAAATACTACAATTTGTAAAGAGTTTTTATATTCTGAGCTGGAATTTTCTGATTTTACATATCTGAAATTGATACATGTATAATAGTTGACTTTATAGATATTAGAAAAACCCTGAGAACTAAAAGTTTTCAGGTAGATGTCATAGTCTCTGACTGTATACATCTATAATTGAAGAATAATTATAATAATAATAAATAAGAAAGAGCAGACTTATATCTATTAAAAAAGTGTCTCAGTCATTAATAACAACTTCTATATATAGAAGAAGATTATATCAGTTATTTTATAAATAATTACAAAACTTATGAAGATAATTTTTCATAGTTTGAATGATTCACTCTGATATATTTTTTATTTCGGAGTGATAAGCTGTTGATAAGTGATATATAATCTTGAGAATTTAATAGATTCTTATACAGAGAGTATCTATAAATTAACAGTCTTAATTACATACTATAGATCTCAGTAAGTTATATATTCAATAGAATAAGCTTTATAAGAAAGCTTTAGTAATCTGTTCAGCATTTATCTTATTATAAGATTTCAATATTATATCTCTACTTAATCAGTTAATAATAATCAGAACATTCTTACAGCTCTTACTCTCAGAAAGATTAATAACAAAGTTAATAACTATATCTGATTAAACTTTATCAGAGATATTAAGTGATTTCAGTAAGTCTTTTCTACAATTATTTTATAAGATAATAGAAGAGTAATAGTTACAGTTACAGATAAAGTGTCTGACAATATTCAGTATTTCAGATTAATAGAACTCTTGAGAAACTATTCAGTATAGTTACTCACAACTTAGATAATCAGTTATATATAAGTTATACATCTCTTATATTATTCAGATGTGTAGAGATTCAGAATACGACACTCAATATTATTCATGAAATTATAAAGTGTTATTATAAGAGGCCTACGCTAAATAGATTAATATGATATTTATAGATCTTATATAACAAAGTGAAAAACATTAGAGAAGGAAAAAAGAGAAAGTGTGAGAATCAGCAATCAGAGTGAATATTTATACATGTATGCAGTGAAGCTTTAGAGTGAAAGAATAGAAATTCTGTATATATAATAAAGCTTCAGAGTGAAAGAATAGAAATTTCATGAGTTTTTCAGTTAAGAATCAGTGACTGAGAATTGAAGCTTTTAGCAGAATCTATGAAGCCTAATAGAATAGTCTATATAATTAATCAGACTTAGTCTGTCATATTAATCTCTTCTTTTTAGAAGTGATATAGAATTATAAGTGTGTAGTTCTCATCAGTCAAGAGCTACTATCTCAGATAATACAGCGCTTAAAGTTCAGATTAGATGATTATAGCTGACTCATTTTATAAGATATTATCAGTCACAGCTGTGAAATCTCTTTTTAAGAATATCTTTGTAAGGGGCCTATGCTGATTAGATCGGTATAATATATAGGTCTTATATAACAAAGATAAAAACATTAAAGAAGGAAAGAAAGAGAAAGTGCGAGAATCAGTGATTGAGGTGAATATTTATATACATATGTGATGGTGTACACGGTGAAGCTTCAGGGTGGAAGAATATACACGCGTTTGTAGTGACTGAGAATTGATGATCAGAAATGGCTGAGAATTGAAGTATATGCTACACGCGTTTGTAGCAGCTGCAGATTAGTGATCAGAAATCAAAGAATCTATGAAGTGTAATAGAATAGTCTATATGATTGATCAGGTGCAGCCTGTCACATTAACTCTCTCTTTTCAGAAGCAGTTTCTATTGATTAAGAGCTACTATTTCAGATAACATGGAACTCAGAGTTCAGATCAGTTGATTATAGCTGATTCATTTCACAAGATATTGTCAGTCACAGCTGTAGAATCTCTCATTGAGAATATCTTCAATCTCTCACTCAAGCTCATTATCTTCTTCTATGATATCTGGTGACTGTCAGTCAGAAGTCAGCTGAGAAGAGAATAGATTGATGATAGCACAGTGAAGCAAGCTTGTGTGAAATACATTATAAATCTCTGATGATATATCAAGGTGATAGTTGTGACTATCTAGAACTTCTATCACTTTATACCTGACATGATGGTAATCTAGTGTATAAGATGAATATGTGATTTGTATATTCTTAAGATTCAATTATATCAGATCTTCTATCTTATATTATTCAGCAGAGTCTTGATAAACATTGATTTAATTCTCTTGATCTTATTTTACAGTTGTCATGAAGGTCTCTGCTCAATTGCAGATATCTTGAAGCTTTATTACTATATTATCAGTGATCTGAATTGAGCTGTAAGAATCTGGTATAAACTGTGTGATCTCTAGAAGATTCAACACTTTCATGTAATATTCATGTGTAAGAAAGAATAGACTTACATCTATTGAAACAGCATCTTAACTGTTAATAGCAATCTCTGTATGTAGAAGAAGATCATGTCAATCATCTTATAAGTGATTACAGAACTTATGAAGATAATTCTTTACAGTCTGAATTATCTATTCTGATGTATTATCAGTCTCAGAGTAATAGACAGTTGATAGATAATATATAATCTTGAGAACTTGACAGATTCTTATTCAGAGAATGCTTATGAATTAATGACTCTGATCTGATACTATAGATCTCAGCAATTCATGCATCTGATAGAATGAGCTCTGTAGAAAAGCTTCAGTGACTTGTTCAGTATTCATCTTGTTGCATGGTTTCAATATTACATCTTTACTCAATTAATTTATGATGATCAGAATGTTTCTACAACTCTTACTCTCAGATAGATTGATAGTAAAGTCAATTATTACATCTTATCAGATTCTATCAGAGATATTAAGTGATTTTAATAGATCTTTTCTATGATTCTTTCATGAGATAACAGAAGAACAGTGATTGCAGTTTTGAATGAAGTATCTGATGCTGTTTGATATCTCAGATCAGTAGAACTCTTGAGAGATTATTCTATACAGTTGTTCATAACCTAAATAACTGATTATACATGAATCATGCATCTCTTACATTATCTGAGTATATAAGAATTCAGAGTGAGGGACTCAGTGTTGTTTACAGAATTATAGAGTGTTATTATTATTGATTGAACATTCTGAGATATCAGTTCTTATACATAGTTCTGAGAAGAATCAGAGTGCTTCTTGATATACTGCTTCAGTGAGAGTCTGAAGAAGTTCATCAGTCTGAGCTGCTGTATGCCACAGTTCATTCAGTGTAGAGAAAGTGAAGATATTAATATCAGTTCTAATTGAAGAAGTATGTATGATGCTGTGAGCTGTTTTATCTTGATCAACTAGTATCTTCAGATTCAAGAGCTGATGCTCTCAGTTCATTCAGTGAGTATCTGTTACATTGAATGGCATATCTTGCTCTTGTTATGAGAGGGCATCTGCCATCAAGTTCTGACTGCCAGAACAGTAGTGTATTGTAAAATGAAAGCAGCTTAGAAACTCAGATCATCACATCTATC